GGTGTTCTAATGGTTTTACCCTTTTGTTTGGAAAATAAAAATCATTTTTTAATGGATTTAACGGTGCATTCTAACGGGAATTGGACGGAATGACGTTTTGCTCAAGAAAATGCAAAGGTATGGACGTTCATCACCAAAAAAATCAAACGTAAGGAGGTTTTTACAAAACTTTTCATGGGTAGGGACGTTTTGCGCCAATTACCCATTTATCAAATACTATTAATTCTTTTTAGTTTTTTCACATGTCCACTTTAATCCAGCCCACCAACCATGTACACGTAAGAAGTGACTTTGAGAAAATAAGCCTTAATTTGTAGTTGTAAGATTGAATCGATTAATTTTTTGTGTTGCTTTTTAACAATCTAATTTTGCACCATTTATATTTGAGAAATTATTCAAATAGTTATTTCCTAAACAAAACTAACGCCGTTAAAACTGGTCGCCGTCTAATTGGTTGGGCTGCTCCGGGGCAGGCAACAGGCTTGGCTCCAGTAAGCCCGGCAGAGAATTTTCATCAAACCAAGCATTTCCCCTTCAGTATTGACCTCCAGGTTATAACTTAATTACAAAGATACCACTGTTGGGGGGACCCAGCCATAACACGTGAGTACTGTTTTTTAGCCTTTTACTCTATGGTTGGATCTGTACGAGTGCTTGCAGTGGTCCTTATTCCGTTCAAATCATCAGAATAATCTGACGGGTAATAGGCTGACACGTGTTAGGCTGGTCCCTGTCTATTTTATCTTTTGTCTGCAAAGGTTTTGGACCAGTAGATATTACTGTGCTACACGTTTAATGTAAAACATGTGACCATGTCCATTGTTTTTGTTGTTACTCTAATTTCAATTTGCAATGACTCGATTTTGTAGTAAATTTAAATAAATAAAAATAAAATTTCGAATGTGAACTGACCTGTTATAAATAAATAAATAAATAAAAGATTTTCTCGTGAGATACAAACCTCTTAATAATTTAGCTCCTCTTTTGGTCCCCCATTATTTGATATTATAATTTTGGGAATAGTGATCTTTTGGAGAATGTGTGGTTAAAAAAGAAATAAATTTTTTTTTCTTTATGTGTAATATTTCT